TACTGTGAGCTAGTTAGTTTGTTACAAAGGAGTTTTCCTTATTTATTTTTCTTGTAATACAAATACACAATGTATCTCTTCACTAGGAGAGAGAATAACTCATAGCCAAACGAGACACTTTCATCGAAGTGCTTGCATGCCCAGCACATTACAAGTCCTTCAAATTCAACACGATGACAGTACACATCCACTTATATTGAGTCCTTTGATAATGGACAAGTGTGGTGATGTTTATCCATTATTATACTAAAAATGCTACTAGAAAGATACTTGAATACCGAGTAGTGACATCAACTGGGCAATGAACTCAGGGTGGCCTGGCCATGCAGCTCCAGTAACCAAATTCCCATCAGTGAAGCAGCGGCTTATGGGGTCAGGCTCCAGCCAAGTTGCTCCTGATAAAACCACATTAAGCTTCACGGCTGGATAAGCGGTACATTTCCTTCCCTGTAACAAGAAAAGTGTACTAGGTATTAAGGTTCCGTACAAAAAACGAAATAAGAGGAGTAATATATAAAAATAAAAATAAAACTCCACGAATATATGAGAAAAAACTGAGAATAAATGAGTAACACAAGTCATGCTAGCATTTCATGAACACAGATATACACCAGAGGATAAATCACAAATGTCGTGATTCTCAGTCCATGCATGATGTATGTCTCTACCCTCATACCACCGAAGAATAAGTACCTCTAGAATGAAGATAAGGAAAAAAAACCAGGATGACAAGATTCACAAGCAGCTTGTCCACCAAGTAATAAGAGTTGTCGTGGCAAAGAAGAAGAAAAGAAGGATACAAGAATATACAATAATGTATCGATGAAAACTGAAAGGATGTGTGAGCATCAAGAAATTAATATGACATCATGATAATTTAGACCAGAAGTAGTTAGGAAATCAAGATTTGAATTCCAAAGAAAGAACATTTTAGTTTAGAAAAGTGATAGAATATGAGAGAATCTCTCCTCCAAGGATTTCCCCTACACAATAGATAGAGTTGGTATTTTATTCACAAACTAACAATATTCAATAGATGATTTCTTTCCATTGTGTTTTGTTATTCATAAATGATATCTCTAACGTATTATCCTTATCCTATATTGTTTCGAACTCCTCTTATCTCAAATCATACCAAACTCGCCTCTTATACCATATCTTAACAAATTACTCATTATCTTATATGCTAACAGAAGTGCAACCTATAACAACACTATTGCACTACGCATACATGACTTATTTAAGGAAATGATTGTATCCTCCAAGAAGAGACTATTCTCACTTTAGCCAACCTTGAAGGTTCTAGCAAAAAAGTTGTTGCTTGATACTTCTCACTCTCCTCACACTTATAACAGAATTGGTAAATCTGCCACGTCACCCAACTCCCTCCTATTTCCTATATTTTCCCCACAAGACTCTTAAGACCCTCGTTTCTCAATTGGAATCCTAACACCTTGCTTGTTACAACACTGTAACCCAACAATTCAAAAGAAAGATGGATAGAAAAAAGTATAGAGTGAACTAACAAAAATGGTATCTCTAACGAGTTTTCAATAATAATACCTTGAGAACACCAGCAGCAGCTAAAATCTGTTGGCCATGACAGATTGATGCAACTGGCTTATTGGCTTCCATGAAATGCTTCACCAAGGAAATAACGGACTCATTCAATGACAAGTACTCAGGTGATCGACCTCCGGGGATAACAAGAGCATCGTACGCTGAAGGATCAACGTCATCAAAAGTCGCAGTTAAAGCAAAATTGTGTCCTGGCTTCTCGCTGTAAGTTTGATCTCCTTCAAAATCATGAACAGCAGTTGGGCAAGTATCACCAGTCTTCTTTGAGGGGCAAATTGCATCAACATGGCATCCTAAAGCCTGAAGAGACTGAAAAGGAACCTTAACCTCATAATCTTCCATGTAATCCTGTAATTAAAAATTGTTAAAACATGTCTTATCAACTAGCACAACAATAAAGGTAAAATGATTAGAGAAAGAACATAAAAACAAAAGAAAATATTGGTTACACTAGGTGCATGACATTTCTGATATACTAACCAAAAATTAGTCATAACTCATAAGCTCTATGCTTAAAAATTCTACTTCTAAAACTAGTCATGCCAAAAAAAGTAAAGTAAGCACCAAGCAGTGTCCCGACCCATTATTTTCAACTACAAGCAACAAGAAAAACATATGAACATACCCCACAAATAAAGAGAATTTTTTTATCAAATCCACTTATTGTGCCACCTAATGCCTTCACAAAATGCCGAAGAAGTTCGGGATGCCCTTCATAAGTAGGTGCAGTAATGAGATTACCATCCACCACAGTCGTTGACATTGTCTCAGGCTCAACCCAATGAGCACCAGCAGCAACCAATACCGGTTTAACAGGAGGAAAAGCCGTGCACTTACGACCTTCAACTACACCAGCAGCTGCCAGAATCAAATGGCCATGACAAATGCAAGCTATCTGTTTTCCAGAATTGACAAACTTGGCAACCAGCTCCACAACACTAGGAATGTGAGCAAGATACTCCGGCGCCCTTCCTCCCGGCAACCACAACCCGTCATAGTTTGTGTGTTCAATGTCATCGAAAGTTGCATTGAGCGTAAAATTGTGACCAACAGTCTCAGTATATGTCTGAAACCACCAAAAATCTATTACTCAAGATTAAAAGATTATCATTCATATGACTAAATCTCAACAAGAATAAGGGTCTGTTTGGATAAACATCTTATCTGCAACTTATAGCACAAGTGCTTATCAAAATAAGCATTTATGAATAAGCTCACATAAACTATTTTTATAACAAAAGATAAAATAAATTTAAATTGTTTTTATATATGTTATAAGTTGTTTTCATTAGCTATCTTGAAGAATTTATAAAAATAAGTTCAAAAAAATTTATGAAAAATATCATAAGCTGTTTTGATTAAGTGTGTTTGGATTGACGGTGGACAAAATTGATTTTGACAAAATTGAGTTTAGCATAATTGATTTTAACAGAATTGAGTTTAGGAGAATTGATTTATGTTTGAATACGTTTATGTAAAAGTGAGTTGAACAATAAATTTTAGATTGACTTATTTGAGTTAATCTATTGACAAACACTTTTGAGACTCTTTAGATAACTTATGAAAATATTTTGACTTAACTTTATTTTTGTAATAAAAATAGCTTATGCATGTTCTTATAAAATTAGATCTGACTTTAAAAGAATGAAGAGAGACCTGGCCACCGGAAAGAATGTGGACGGCGGTGCGGCAGGCATCACCGGATTTTTTTCCGGGACAAACAGCATCGACGGTGATACCGAATGCTTGTAATGCCTGAAAAGGAACCATAGCCTGCAAGAGAAAACGTGAGTGAGTAGGTGATGAAGTGAAGTGAAGGGATATGAAGAGTGCTTACTTCATAGTCTTCCATGAAGTCACCGCAAAGGAGAAGAACCCTTTTGGGAGCCATGGATGATGATTGCAATGCTACTGGTTTTCCAAGTGGTGATATAGAAGAATAAACAAAGAGATTATGGTATGTGAGAAATTGACTACAAACTTTACTTATTGTTTTAGGAAAGATGTCAACATTGTGGACGTGCCGGAGTGGTTATCGGGCATGACTAGAAATCATGTGGGCTTTGCCCGCGCAGGTTCGAATCCTGCCGTCCACGAGTTCTTTTTTTTCATATCATGCACCAAATGTTTGATATTCTTGTTCTTTTTAATGGAATTATCAAAAACTCCAATGCGTGACAAATTTTTTTTATTTTTTTTTTCAAATAACAAAATTTATACAAATCAAAAAAATAATAATTATTAAATTTTTAAAAACTTGGAAATAACCATGAATTTACCGATTTCCTACGTTTATTTTTAAAAAAATATGCAATTGTTTTCTTCTGACACTTGTCCGCTTATGTGTCTCAAATCTAAAACATCTTCGGACACGTGGTTTTTAACTATCGAGTAAAAATTGTTAAATAATGATAGGTGTCTTGAATATTGTGTTTCCCGTCTCCTTAGTCATTAAGTTTTTTTTTAATCAAACAATTGTTTTTCACTCAAAACACTTGATCGATCAATATTCACACACTTCTCTCACTTTACAACCTACACTTATGTTTTCTAACCTTCTCCTGAAAAAAAACCCTTTTTCAAAAATACACTTTTAGAAATCCTAACTTTATTTACAATGGCTTCAACATCATCTTCTCATCAAGTTGTTATGGTCGTTGAATCTGGAAAAAGCTTCCATGTCAAACCGAAAACCATGAAGTTCAGTATGGAGGAACTGAAGCCAGTTATTGAGCTGATTGTTAATTTTGAGTCGTTCAAGGTTAATGGGTATCACCTGCAATATATCTTCAAATTTCAAGGGTGGATGAACTACTTTGATATGTTGAATGGACCAACCTTTCCCTATCTAGTTTTAAAAAATTGGGTAAAGATTGAGGTCTATGATGAAGATGCAGCATCTATTGAAGAAATTTTGAGGTCTATGATTTTGAGGTGCTATTTTCCTTTGATATCAACCTCAAAATTTATGGGTTTGCCTGAGTTCAAATAGGTGAAAATTAGATATGTAGTGATGGGAGTTGATGCGACCACCACTTTGAATTACATTTCCAAACTTCTTGGTATGGATACCATTGATGGATGTGCTCTAAACACAAAAGGAAGTAGTCCAGAGATTTAATATAATCAAGGAAAATATATTTCTTAACTATAAGGATTTTGGTAAAGTAAATAATATGATGAATGAATTCAGAGTTCTGTTCATAATTTTGATTAGGACTTTGGTTCCAAGAGAAGGTAGTACTAATCAAATCTCTTAAGATCGCAAACACTTGATTTGGTTCATAGTCAATTATGATAAAATCAACCTTCCAGTGTACATCTTTAATCACTTATATGATGCCATCAGATAGACTAATAGAAATCACAAGAAAAGTATTCTTCATGCAAGACTTCCTTTTGAATTGTCTCGTCAGAGTAGGATGATTGAGGCTCTGATGAATTATGGGCCTACAAAAGTCCTAGAAGGATCGTATAGGAATATTATCTCTAGTACTATACTGAGGAACATGAGGTTGATTCTGAAGAAGGAAGTGGTGCAACTTGCACACCCTTTAAAAGTGAGAAATACCATAATAACTTTCATTGATGATTTTCCCTACATCTCCAAACATAACAATCCTGAAGTCATCCATGAGTACATCAAAACGGCCTTGGAAGAGGCTGGAGTTGTTCTGACCAAGGATAACATTCCTAAAGGCCCTAAAGATAGTATGCTCAAGGTTCCAAGGAAAAGGAAGCAGGCTGGTTTTGTTACTATGAAAGAGGTTCAGAAGCCACTAAAGAAGATGGTTACTCTCCAGAAGGGTGTTCAGAAAGAGGTTCAAGAAGTGGCCTCCATAATTGTCTTGATGCCTACCAATACAATGATTAGATCCATTCCTTGGAAGACAACATCTTATTTTTGGCTGAGAAGAAGAAGAAATTGAGGAAGATGGTTCTGCTATCAGAAGATGAAGAAGAAATTGATGAATAACCTCTGAAAAGTGTAAGTATGGAGTGCGCATAATAGGGGGTGAATTAGGATTTTTTAAAAATTATTCGATTTTTATGAATATTGGTTCTGTCTTTTTTGGTTAGGTTAGGCGATGAAAGCGATAAAGTGCGGAAAGTAAAGAACACTAGAAATTTATACTAGTTCCTCTCACAACCCGAGAGTATGTCTAGTTCCCTTACCACATGTAAGAGATTTTATTATTGTTAAATCTTCCTAAATAAGACTCTAACCAAATTATCAAGAACAATCTGCTTGAAACTTGTTCCACAAGAAAAGAGAAAAATCCCTCTCTTTCTTGTAACCTTATCTCCAACAATCTTGGATGATAAGTAACCACGCCTAATATCAAACAATCCTGAATACTTAGGAATTTTTTACAATACTTAATGAATAATGATGTAGAGTAATTATCATTTTTATAATATTAAGTGATGTATCAATATAAATGACCTTCCCTTCTAATAACAATAATTCACAAACTCTAAAGTGTTAGATTTCTCAAGAATTTTCTAGTTTAAAGGATATGAAAGTTTGCAGAAAATTTCTTGAATAAAATTTGAATATTTGAAATGTGAATTTTGAAAGTCTAAGTGTTTGATTGGAAGAGGTAATTTGTAATTTGAAAATTCCGTTTTTTAGAAGTTACAAGACACCACTTTGAATCATGGTGAAGTTTAGAAAAAATACCATGAATAATTGCAAGTTCAAATGGAAAGGTTTCTTGAAGAGTAACCATGAAAAAATGTTGAAAAAGTTACTGTTTTTCAAAAACGTTCAGGCGCAAATAAATTGTTGCAAGGTGCAAATCGATTTGTATATAGTGTAACGTTACAAAATATTTCAAAAAGCTTCAGTAACCAATTGATTGTATACATGTGTAAATCAGTTGTTCTATGTATAAAATGAAAATTGTTTCAAAGAATCAATCGATTGATCAGGCACTCAAATAGATTGACATGCTACTTATGCTAAAAAACTTTGGCATGACTCAAGTGCAAATCGATTGTTTCAAGGTGGAAATAAATTTGCATATAGTAGAATGAAATATATTGAGGGATACATTAGAGGTCACTTTGTAGATTTTGACCTAATTTCAAGTGATTTTGTCCAACTTTCAAGGATCATAACTTGATCAATTTTCATCATTTAAAGCTCATTATTTTCCACCATAATTTTGAAGGTGTTTTCTACAAGTTTGATTCAAGGAGTAAGATCTAAAAAATGCTTGGAAGGTCAATTAATTAAAGGAAATATTATAGGTCATTTTTAATCCTAATGGACTTGAAATTTTTCTAAGTACAAAGTGCTTATTTTCAGTTAACTTTGAAGCATCATAACTTTTGATTCAAGTTGCCAAATGAATAAATTTTTAGCATGTTGTAAAGCTTGTGGGAAGATCTTTCAATTGCAAAATGAAAGAGGTCATAAAGCTACCTATGCATGATGCCTTATGGATCTAAAGTTGGTCACTTGAAACTGAAGCTTTGCACCATGACCATATTTTTGAATCCTTTTAATCCCAATTACAAGCCAATTAAGCATGCATTCTTCCTTCTAATCATGTTTAGGGACTTACCAAATTTGAAAACGACCCTTAAACCATTCAAATTATTGAGTTTTTAGCCATGTGAAGTCAAACTCTGTTCATGATTTGGATGCACACGATTTGGCTGAAAATCTTATGATTCACCCTACCTCGATATTTTATTTCATTCCCCCTATAAATAGAGATCTTCCCGTCTTCATTTTGCAAGCTTTGAAAGCCAAAGCCATTGTGCCAAGATCCCATATGAACTCTTAAGCTTGAACTTTGTTTTCTGATTTCCACACCTTATTCACTCAACATCTCCACTCAGTTAACTTCACTAAAATTCAGCGAAGCTAACCATCCCAAGAGGAAGAAGAATTAAGCTCTAATTGAAGTTCACCAAGTTCAATTTCAGAGCAAAACCATCACATTTCGTTCAAGTAGTTAGAGGCATCAAATCTCTTAACTTAAATTAATGTGATGATCTTTGATATGTACTGATGCTTACTGCATCGCTAGTTTTCATTAATTGATTCATTTGACATGTCTGTTTTTGAGTTTTGTGTTTGCAAACTCCTTTGGTTTTTCTCAAATCGAGTAGCCTGCAGTTTAAATAAATTTTTCGTGAAGGCATGGTTAAGATCGTCTTGATGAGACGCTTCTAATGATACCAGCCTCATGGATAATGGTTACTTCTTCTTGAGATACGAATTTTCCCTAGTTGCAGGTGGATGGAGGTTGGAGATGATCAACGTGTCATCCTCGACCAATAAAAGTGTGTCATCTGAAATAATTTGATTGGTGTGACTTTTTTGTATCTGATGCGTGTGTTTTGACTTGTGTCCACCATACATCATTATCTCTCATTTGTTTGATGAGCCAGCATGTTTAAGTGACTTAGATCCAACATTTCCACATTTTCCTGATTTGTTTTTATTTTATAAAATTGTTTTTAAATTCATTTTATCTTCAAAAATTTATAACTCCTTTATTTTTTATCCAAAAAAAATGAAAAATTACACAAAAAATACTTTGAAAATGATTTCTGATTTTATGGATTTTTTTCTCTAGATTTTTATTTTTATGTTTGCCATTTTTTAATAATTTTTGGATTACTTTTATTTTTAATTAGTTTTAAAATGTTTTAATTACTTTTTAAATTCTGAAAATAATATTATATGATCCAATGATGGATTATGACCTATGGTGATTTTATTTAGTTTTTATTTTTAGCTTTTTTTTATTTTTTTTATTTTCTTGCTTAAAATTTAATAGTTTAAAAATAGTTTTTGATTTCCAAAAATGACAAAACTATTTTCTAAAAATATTATGGACCATCTTTGATTTTTCTAGGGTCTTAGTTTATGTTTATTTGATGTTTTGAATATAATTTGATATTTTACTTTTTATTTTCATTTTAAAACTATTTTTTTAAAAAAATTATTTCTTATTTTATTTTATTTATTTTGGCAATTTAAATCTTGTATATTCTGGTTAGCTTGGATCTTGATCATTTAGGTCATGAATTTCATCAAAATCAATGGAACTTGGGAATTGATAGGTTGAAAGACCAAATTCACCAAAATGGATGATTAATTTTGATGAAGTTAGACCTAATTCATGATCCAATTTGAATTTCTACTTTTGTCTTGTTTACTTTATCTCATCTTTTTCTCTTTCCTTTTCTTTTTCTTTTTGGATCAATTGGATGATTGATAATTCATCTTGTTCAATCGAATATGGATTGGTACTTAATGAACTTTCATCATTTCAAGTATATCTCTAAGTGATTAATTGATCACTCAAGATACTTTGGATCAGTGAAAGTTTGTCATAAGGTATCAAGACGGATTTAATTGATGTAATGATATCATCTCTTTGACTTAGGTCTTGATCCACTTTTATTTTTACGTATGCTACATGTTTTAGGAGTATGGTTTCTACCATATCTCTAACATGTATGGTACATGCAATGTTATTGATTGGCCTTGTATAATACTAACTTCTACATAAGTCTGCTTGTGATTGCTTAACATAGCGCTAAATTTGTCCTGAATCGGAAAGTTAACATACTAACTCTAACATTTATTGTACTAACTTTTTACTTCAATGCAATTTAAATTTTCCGCAATTTACTTTATGTCCTTTAATTTTAGCATATTTATCATTCATATCATTTATCTTTTTGCTCTTTATTTTATGTCATTTTCTCTTTGTCCACTTAGAATTTATTTTATGTTATTTTTCCTTTGTTCACTTGTACATTTGTTTATATTTATGCACCTTTTTCCTTTGTCCACTTGGACTTTTATTTTTTGTTCTTAAATCATTAATAATCAACTTGAACATTAAAATACTTAAGGCTCTCTTTTGGACTATAGTTACTATCCATTGGCATATTGGAGTATTTTGACCTTTGGACTTAGGATATGACCTTGTTACTTTGAGACATTTGAATCTTGAGACCTTGTTGTTATTTTGTTTGTGTATTTGTAAATTTTATGTGTCCGTGTGTTATTTTAAAAATTCCATTTGATGCAAGAATAATTCATATGATACATGTCAAGTCGTTTGTACCTTATTGAGTTCATCTGATGCAAGCTTGCACCTGAGGCACATATTATTCATCTGAAGTTTATTTCTTTATTGTGTGGCTTTAATCCAAAGTATGTGAATGTTATATTGACTTTATTATGTCAAGTGTTGGTTTCTTGTTTGGTTAGATCTTTCATACCTTAGCTGTTACTTTATGCTTTAGGATAGTCCCTTCATTTCTCGTCCATCTTCTTTAATTTTAAAATCTTCTTCCTTATTTTCAAAACCTTCTTTGTTTGCAAACTTAAACCACTTTCATAATAATAAAAACTTTGACTTTGTCAAGTGCATTTTTAAAAACCTCTTTTTAATCAAACTTTAATTTATTTAACCAAAGTCTAATTATTTTCTTCAAAGACTAAAAATACAAAACCTCACTTCAAACCTTTTGCCATTTGGCTTTTGATTTTAAATTTTTTTCTTAAAATATCATATATGAGTCATATTTATGGTTAAGATGTAATTCTCCCTGGTTCATAACTTTGATTGATATAATATTAAATCTTTTTCACTTGAAGAGGTTAGTGGCATACATGTTGAGTTATCTAGGCTGAGCCCTCATTTCACTTGTGATGCAAAGGTCAATCATTCTCATGTTTATGGATATTTGGTTATGTATTCTCCCTAAGATGACAAAATGTCACTTCTCTTAAAATTAACAAACCAACAATTTTGTTCCTTTTTAGAATAACTATGAGGTTCTGATTTTATCATTGCACATTGATGGCACGTAGGCATAAAGCTCATTGTAGTTTTTCCTAATCAAAAATATAAAAACCATTTATTTTCTCATCTCCACAAACCTTTTG